TTCCATGCGTCGTTTCTTTCACGAACATGGGGTCATCTATCAACATACTTGCGTCTACACACCACAACAAAATGGTGTTGTAGAGCGCAAGCACCGACATATCATAGAGATGGCTAGGGCTTTACGTTTTCAGGCACATCTCCCTATTTCATTTTGGGGAGAGTGTGTTCTCACCGCCACTTACTTGATCAATCGTCTACCCACTGCCCTTTTATCCAAGTTATCCCCATATGAGAAGCTGTACCATAAACCTCCTTCTTATACCCACCTCCGCAGTTTTGGTTGTTTGCCTATGCCACCATTGTCCAACCTTCCCATAAATTTGATCCTAGAGCCAAACGATGTGTTTTTCTCAGTTACCCTTTCGGTCAAAAAGCCTACAAATTATTTGATCTTACCACCAAATTTTTTTTACCAGTCGCGATGTCGTTTTTCATGAGAGTCACTTTCATTTCCAAACTCTACCTTCTTCCTCTCCCACGGAACCTCCACCTTCTGTTTTACCTCTTCCTTTATCTGATTTGTCATCTCCTTCATGTATATCTCCTGACTTACCCTCACCACTTCCTCCATCTCCTTCTACCCCACTCTATCTCACGGCTTCTTTCAACGCCGCTGTCCCCATTTTTCCCTCTGACACCACTGCCATACCAGCCCCATCACAACCTTCCTCTCCTTCTGTACCACTAGTCCCCATACGCCACTCTCTTCGCCACAAGGTTAAACCAACCCATCTCCACGATTATGTTTGCTCACAGGTTACTTTACCCACGCTTGACCAATCATCAGACTCCTTGCCATGTCGCACCAAAGGTACTCGTTATCCCCTTTCTAATTTTCTTTCTTATCACCGTTACTCACCATCACACTTTACTTTCATTGCTAATATTAGTCGACCAGTGGAACCTAACACTTTTGCAGAGGCTGTTTCTAATCCACACTGGCAAGAAGCCATGCAATCTGAACTTGCAGCTTTGGAATCCAATCAGACTTGGTCCCTCACTTCTCTTCCACATGGGAAGCAACCCATTGGATGCAAATGGGTCTATAAAATCAAGCATCATTCTGATGGCACCATTGAGTGCTATAAGGCTCGTCTCTTGGCCAAAAGATACACTCAAATTGAAGGTCTTGACTACCATGACACATTTTCTGCTTCGGTATGTTCTTGCTCTTGCCGCTGCCCACAACTGGTCTTTGCATCAGTTTGACGTCCACAATGCATTCTCCATGGCGATTTACATGAGGAAATCTATATGTCACCTCCTCCTGGTCTTCGGTGACAGGAGGAGTATTTGGTATGTCGCCTTCACAAATCCTTGTACGGATTGAAGCAAGCATCTCGCCAATGGTTTTCTAAGTTCACTGAAGCCATACAAGCTGCTAGTTTCACTCAGTCCAAAGCCGATTATTCTATTTTTACCTGCAAAAATGACAAGTCCTTCACCGCTCTCTTGATCTACGTTGATGACATCTTGATTGCAGGAAATAATTTACCTGCCATTGATGCTCTCAAGCAATTTCTTAATACTCGTTTTAAGATCAAAGACCTTGGTGATCTTAAATATTTTTTGGGCATTGAGGTCTCATGTTCCAGGAAAGGTATTTCTATTTGTCAAAGGAAATATGCACCGGATATTATTAAAGATGGAGGAGATTTGGGAGCACGTCCAGTAAGCTTTCCCATGGAACAAAATTCCAAAATTTCTTCTGATACAGGTGAGATACTTCATGATCCAGCAAAGTATAGACGATTGGTGGGACGTCTAATTTATCTCACCATAACAAGACCTGATATTACGTATTCAGTACATATACTCAGTAGATTCATGCATGAGCCTCGCAAGCCACACTTAGATGCCGCCATGACAGTTTTGAGGTATCTGAAAAGTACACAAGGACAAGGACTCTTCTTTCTTGCTAGAAATGAGATGAAGTTGACGGCATACTATGATTCAGATTGGGCTGGATGTCCAACCACACGAAGGTCAACAAGTGGCTATTACGTGTTTCTTGGAAATTCTTTGATCTCATGGAGAACAAAGAGACAAAAAACAATATCTCTTTCTTCAGCAGAGGCTGAATATCGTGCAATGACAGGTGCTTGCTGTGAAATTACTTGGTTGTGTTATCTATTGCAAGACCTACAACTCCCAGACCCAGGACCAGCTACTTTACACTGTGATAACCAAGCTGCGCTGCACATATCTGCCAATCCAGTGTTCCATGACAGAACTAGACACATTGAAATCGACTGTCATTTTATCCGGGATCATATTCTGGACAGAACAGTGGTTACAAGATATATTTCATCTCAACAACAAGTAGCAGACGTGTTTATGGAGGCCTTGGGAAAAGAAGATTTTTCAGCTATGGTGTTGAAGCAGAGAAAATTAAAAGAACAATATTACCTGGAAAATTTGTTGTGAAGCTGTGAACGATTCTTGGGATGAGTCGCATACAAAGTCGCTCTCTTTAAGACGTTTCGCTGCTCTGCCCAATTTGTGCAAGCAATTTAGAAAAGGCCACTACGTCCCCAGGATAAAACGGCCCCAGAATCTCCTCTGTCTAGGTTCTTCCTTGCACTAAGGAAGGACCCGAATACAAACACCTTTCTATGTTGCTCAGAAACCTTAGTTTAGAAAATAAGAAAAAGATATGAAGAGAAGGAAGGCAGCAACTATGGTCTGTTTTTTTTTCCCTCCTAGCTATATCAAATATATATATACAAGATTTATCACAAAGAGATGTTGTGGGCATCAATGCATCAGTTGAACAAAGATTCAGCCCATATTAATAGAAAATAACTCATATTAATAAAGACAATTTAAGGCAATTATTGAATTATTGAAAAGATATATTTTTAAAAATAAAAAATAAACATACTAATTTCAACAGTGTGCAAGTTGGGAGTTCACAACATTCACTCTCCAACTTGAGGGGGAGTGTTGAGAAGTCAACTAAATCCCAATATATTTGGGATAGAGTGATTAGCCAAATTATATGTAATTGATTGTACATGATTTGCTTTCCTTTATTAGTCTCTTGATTGTAGGAAACTTGGGTATAGATACCCTTGACACTGTAAAGAGAAAATTATCAAGTAATCAAATATTCTTCCTTTGATTACAATTTTACAGGATTGCCCAAATTGAACAAGTTGGGCTAGAAGAAGTTTTAACCTTAACCTGTAAGGCGTTTAAGCCCCCAAGTTCAACCCACAAGCTCAATCCCCAATAAAACCGAAAAGGAAAAACAAATGACTTTGAGAAATGTGAATAAGTTAGGCTGCATGCGTACAGTAAAACAGTAAAACATGAAGGAGCCAAGCGAAAATCATGAAGTTCATGCTGAAGTTATGAAGAAACAAAGTACATGCAAAGCTCATGCCAGTTAAAGACTCATATACATGTTATAACATATATGTAGCATGAAAACAACACACAGTACAGTATACTATATATAACCATGCATGCATATTCCAGCCAGAGGTTTCATTTCTCTGTTTTGCAATTGCCTTTCTTCCTCGTTTCGCTTTGATCTCTCTCTCTCTCTCTCTCTCTCTCTCTCTCTGAGGAAAATGGCTGGGAGGACGGACATTGCCGAACAGCTCAAGGAACTCATCTCCTCCTTGAAAGAACAGGTCAACTCACCCCCATTAATATCTTTGTTCATCAGTTTATTGCTTTGCTTATATTTATCTTACTTTCCTCTCTTCAAATTCTAGTTTTTTTGAAGTGTTTTTTTGGAGGACTTATGTTTGGAGAAAAAATAAGGCTGAAATTTCAGATAATCTTTGTTTCTCAGAGTATATAGATCATTTCTTCCTCCCTCTTCTCTTTTATTAGTTAACTTGATCATGGGGTTATTTTATATGGCTGGTCTACTTTCTTAGTATTAGTTAATGTCAACATTTCAACTTTTGATAACAAATAAAATCTGATCAAGTAAATTAATATTTCAGCTAATTAATTAAATTATCTAACTATATATATATATATGTTTCCTGGCAGGGCATTCTAGATGAGAAGTTTGATGAAGTGATGAGACGGTTGAAAGATGAACGAAACCCTCGCTTTGCTGTTGAAATCATAAACCACTTCTACGGTGATGCTGAAAATAACCTAGAAGAACTTACAGACCTGTAAGTAATAATTTTCTTCACTGTTTTCGTTAAGTAATTATTGGGGTTTTCACATACATAATGTGTGTGTCTGTGTATATGTATTGATTTTGGAGAATTCAATTGTAGGAGTGTTCTTCCTATCATGGACTATCCTCAGCTGACAAATCTCGCCCTCAGTCTCAAGGACGCTTGCTCAAGGTAATTGTAGATCATTTTTTAGATGCCTATTTACTGTGCATATATACTTAAAAGAAAAGTATGATTTTGATGCACCTGTGTTGTATATGCTGTACATTGCCAAAATAATATGTGTGAACACCATATCAGCTTGAAAAACATAAAAGAGAACAAAATATCATCATATTATTGCTAATAATTTCTTATAAAGTATCCAAAAAAGATATATTTTAGTGTATAGAATTTTTAAAAAAAATTTCTGCTGTACACCGTTAAAAATTCTATTTCTTGTCAAATCATATTCTTAATTTAACTATGTGCTTCCTAACATGGAATGGGAATGCGAAGATTGGGAAGTTACTCCCATTCAAGGCCATTTCAGTGTTTACTAACACGACTATACACACACATAGCATTGGTCATGAATCATGATCTTAAAAATATATTTCAATTTTGTATTATGAGCTCAAATGGATATAACATCTTAATTTGCTGCATTAACTCAAAGAATATTTGACATTGATCCCATTCGCTGCATTTTGGAATTACAGTTTTGGTTGCAGCCGGATGGCCATTGCCTGCGGCGAGCTCCGAGATGCAAGTGAAGCAAAGAACAAAGAAGGGTAATAAGATTTTTAACTTGTTCTCTCATTATCACCAAGTAATGGTAATTTCAATGTATCTTTGTGTTTTTTCTTTATATATTTTTTGTGGAAAATTTTAGCTGCTTCACTTAGACTTTTATAAAGCAGCCTTATTTATTTTTCTCTAGGTGCCTTATGGTTCTTGAACATATCCGCCGTGAATATGCTGTCCTGCAGAAGAATCTGAATCAAATTGCTCAGGTAATATTTCTTATAATAAACAAATATATAGAGCATGTAGAGACTTATTAATTATGACTATGCATTGATGAATAAACGTGCTTAAAAAGAAATAAATTGATTGATAATTTCTTGACCCTAAAAAAGAATACAGAAATAGACACAATTTCAACAGTGATTATGCTCCCACAGGTGCACTAATATTCTTATTTTTATTTCCTTCACAAAAATCAAAAATTTCTGGAAACATAACGCGGCGCAGCTGGACCGAGCAATTTATGAAAATGCGATTAGAGGACGCTATTATTAAGTAGAGAGCTGCTATGTTTGATCTGTTCGGTCTCTCCAGAAGATCATATTATATGTTCTTGAATAAGTTTGATATTATAACTTTTGAATAAGTTCACAGTGATCAAAGGAACATTCCCCGTTTAAGACTTAGTTTTGGATATCCTTTGGTGTCTTTATGTTATCTTTTAATTTGGCTACTATTGGATTATAATCTCCACCATTTGATTGTCACATTTGTACTTTTCATTCCATTTCTTTTGGTAGGACAAAAAAACCAGTCAACCGATAAAACTGACTAATCGGCCGATTTGATTCAAATTTTGACTGGAATAAAAGTTAAACGGAGCAGTCTTCGGTTTAGTTATGCCTAGCTACGGTTTTTAAAACCTACAAACCGTTCCAATCGGATATTTTAGGAAGTGCAAGTAATTGATTATTGATGGGTATCCCTCTTTTGGTCGAGGAGGGAGAGAGAGAAAAATATGGTTGGTTGTAAGATAACAAAAGGAAAAGAATCCTTTGATAAAACTGAATTTTTAATAGCCGCATCAATTTCATTAATAAAAGGGCATTACAAGAACATAGCCCCCATATTTAATAAGAATGTTTTGTTGATATTCATAATATATGCTTTCCAAAATATGGATCTTCACAATTCAGTTTATAGTATAGCAGAAAAGCTACCCAGAGCAAATCATGTCCATGCCTAGTTATATAAATTGACCTACGGTTGTGCGGTTGGACTGAAAACACCGAAAACCGCCTGTAACCGACCGTCAATGGATTAAATTTTGATATGAATTTGATTTAATAAATAGGATATGGATTGACACTTTCAACCTCATAATCTGATATCCCGTTAACTTAGCAAATAAACTATGTGTTATAGATGATTTGACCAGAAAATAGTGTTGGAAAAAACAGCAATTATCAATGACTGATTAAAACAATTATATAAACAGAATTTATAAAAATCTGTAACACAGAATACAGTATATGAACAATAAATAAAACTGACTTGAATTTGAGATAGAGGCTTGCAGATTTGATGCAATGTCCTAAAGACAGTAATTTCACCCCTTCTCGGTGCTTGAAGTTCTACAGGTGACTGCCTCCCAGGATTCAACTATCTGTATTCTAAGCCCTAGCACTCGGACTTAGAATCTGGCGAACGTTGTTTGTTTTCCTCTCAGACAATATGAAATGCTTGTAGAATGCTTTTTCTGTGTTGAACGTATGAGGCCTTATTTGATTTAAATAAACTTCTGAAACCTTATCAGAAGAGTCACAACTGTTAGAAAACAGTTAATAAAACTAATCCGAATTAATAAAAAATTATTAATTCGAAACCAAAAAATAATTTTAAATCTGAAAGTGCCCCAAGGCCCAAGGCCCATCTTTTTGACTATTAAATATTATATATTTTTATATAATATTCAAAGCCCAAATCGATTTTGAAGCCCAAATTGCTTCCACTTGGCCTACTTCCATTTACTAAGTGTGGCACTTCCACACTTATAAGGACCTCACTCTTTCTACTTTCTATCAATGTGGGACAAAGGTTCTTGAATTTAATTCAAACTTCCAACAGAGGTGAATTCAGTCAATGAAGGCTAAACAATTGTGAAGAGATGTTAGTCAAAAAGAAAAAGGCATCATCATGCACTGATGAAAG